GGGGGGGCGGGGGAATGCGTTAAATTTACCTTCTCCAGATTTTTTTCTTCAACTGACAGGCATTTTTTTGTTTATTTGCAGTTACAATGATCCCAAACAGAAGTTCCATCAAGGTGCAGACTTTTGCTTTATTACGAATGTTTCCTCGCATTTGACGTGGCAAAAATAAGAGTAATTGTACATGTCCTTTCTTTGGTTTGGTTGGTTTTAAATGGTACCAACTGAAATCTCAGTCGCGGAATGGGCGCAGGCGATTGTGAGCTTTACCCTTTTCACACCAAAATCTAAAGCCTGTTTTAAAGCACGGTTTGAATTTTTTTCAAAGCTTCTTTTAATTTTACCTGTTAATCATTAATTGTTTCTTATTTCATCAAAATTCCATTTTTTTTGAAACTTTTGTTTCATACAACAACGCATTCCGCGTTTTAGTTTATTCCGCCATTCCGTGTTTAAGGATGTTCCGCCGTTCCACTGTTCCATCGCATAAGGTCGGAAAAGTTTCATGCAGGAGCCACAAAAACGAATGTAACTAAAACACTAATCAAATTGCGTATGCCATACACGTTATCTCTTCGTGTGCGTCACACTAGTTCGATCTTTTTATCAGTTACATTTACCTTTCAGCCAGACACTGTATTGAACAGAAAGGAGCATGAAAAAATTGATCACTCTTTGTTCAACAGAGTGTGGCGTGACAGATCTTCCTGTACAACATAGCGTGACACTAGCTTAGCGTGACTTATTTCCTATCATGTAGCCTTGAACGTCCTTCGTGTGTATCTGGAATTATTTTAAGATCAGCACGATCTTCTTTCAGGGTGGAGTAGAATTCGTCGTGATTTTCACCGAAGCCTTACCGCTTGATCTCAGCGTTGCTTTTGCAAAATTCGAAGACATTGGTACAGTAGAGCTGGAAAAAAAGAATTCCCATAATCTCATTGGTAAAGTTCCCGGTAAGTATCAAATATTTCTGTTTCTCCACGTTAGGAACAGTGTCTTTTCATAATGACTTTAATTCCACACCTTCCACGATAACCTGTAAAGATTCGTGTGGTGAATCTAGTATACCAACTGTTTTCGCCAAAAAAGATTCTGTAGGGTACTCTATTTAGTATCAAGGCTATTAACCTTGGAGCCTACATCGAATACCGTAGCTTGAAGCGACTGGGAGTATTGCCACACCTCCTACAAGAAATGGTAGTCCAACAAATTTGAACGCTTTGCAATAGTCCTTTTTACAGTTGTGGGCTTGGTGGCCAATCCTTTGAACAGGAGTGAGGCTAAGAGTGACCTAGTTATGATACAGATGTTGCTGCTTTTCAAATGCAAATTTCTTTGTTATCATGCTAACTAGATACTGGTCTCTATCACAACAATGTCACCCTCAGCCTCACTTCAAATCAAAGGCTTGGAAACTAAGTACACAACTGTAAAATGGTCTATTTGGTTTCCTTTTTCCGAACTGTTTGCCGTTTAGCCAGATCTCGAACCCATACCTCTCGACCTGGTGTCCGACGTTAGGCCGTAATGCCATTGCATCTACGCCACAATTTTTTAAACAATTGTCACTTTTTTGGAACATATCCGTTTACATTGTATGTGCTTTGTGCTTCAGCTTCTTTAAAACCTGGCCTTGTCACTGTTAGAGTTACATCCACAACTAATGTCTACCTCGGAGAAACTTTGTTTGAGTATTGGGACGAGACTCGAGATACATTGCGCCGGCTGGTTCGAGATGGCGACATGCAGAGGTTATTTTTTAGCCTCTGGGCCCAAAATATTGACCCATTACCGCCTCCGGAACCTCTACATGACGTTAGTACACTCGGTAAGTTCTTATGATGCTGTATTTTACCTATAATGATTGATTCATTAATGTTGATGTAATGATAATAATAGTCGATAATGATAAAGTTGATTCGGGCGAACACTTCAACCCGTCGTAAGTAATTTCTTGAGAAGAATAGTCCATCTTGCAGTTGTGTGCATAGTTGCCAAGCCTTTGAACAGGAGTGAGGCTTAAGATAACCTTGTTATGATACAAATGTCGCTGCTTTTCAAATGTAAATTTATTTGTCGTGACCGCCTCCCGGTTAGCTCAACTGGGTAGAGCGCCTGATTATGTTGTGCGGGAGGTCGAGGGTTCGAGCCCCGGCCGGACCAATACTCATGGTCTTAAAATAACTGAGGAGAATTTGCCACCTTTCTATAATATCAAGGAATGGATAGATATTCTAGTCTTCTCAGATAAGGACGAATAAACCGAAAGCCCCGTCTCCTGCAGGGTTAGGGGTAGGAGACGTTAATTTCCCACGCACGAGATTACTGTGTGGTGGATGTCCTCCCCTAGGTGGGATGGGTGGGAATTGGCCCTATGTATGTATGTATGTATGTAGGTATGTATGTAGGTAGGTAGGTAGGTAGGTATGTTCATTTCCCACGCACGAGATTGTGTGGTGGATGTCCTCCCCTGGGGTGGGATGAGTGGGTGTTTACAGGGCCGTTCTGAAAACCACTTGTGTGAGAACGCACCCTGTCTAAAGAAAGTGTTGATTGATTGATTGATTTGGTTGATCAAGCTAGATACAGGGCTCTAAATATGAAAGCGCTCCTCGCAGTAATGAACACTACTTAGACAGTAGTGAAAATAAGGCCTGAAGAAATTCAGGCCTGTACGGGATATGAACCCATGACCTCTGCGATACCCAGGTCCAGTGCTCTAGCAACTGAGAGAACAAGCTAACTCGGTGGTGGTCATCACGTTGGTTCGTATTAAACTCGTGAAGTGACAAATCAATGAACTTGAATATATGAAAATCATTTAGGTGCTCTGCGGTTTAGTGAATGAATGAATTTAATGATTATTCCACGAACGCGCGTTGGATATGAAATGTTAGATAGCCAACGAAGCCCGTGGGGCCAAGATGGCTAAAATCATGTCATATCCAACAAGCGCGAGTGGAATAAAGGTGTATTTTTATCAAGAGTTGAACAAAAAGTAGGGAAAACCACCTTGATGATTGTAGCATACGGACCGACGGAATATTTCCATATCTATCGCTGGGAATTTTCATCGTCAATTTTAAGAATTAAAAGCCCTTTTCTTTCCAATTGAATATTCCTTTGTAAGGTCTACACGGATTTATTTTGATCAAGGATAGGGCGGAAAGAAGGAAAAACCAGCCAGATCATTTTAGCTTACGGCCTACGACGACAGACGATACTTTAATTATGTTGAGAACTGTGAGCAGAAAATTTGGCTTCTATATCACCCACCCACCGGTTGTTTGAGCAGAAGGCAAAAGCATGTTTGTGAACAGAGGCAAACCTAGTAGGGGAGGCTCGCTATTCTTATCCCCAGTTTTCCGTGTCTCCACTTCGAACGCCTGGCAAGACGATGCAGATTTGGTGACCACATTAGAGGATGAAACCAAACAGCTTGCATTTTATTAGACAGGAGCGTTTCTTCGGAAGCTCGAGTAGTTACTCCGTTTTAGGAAAATTGGTGCTCGGTGCTGAAAAACTTTCATTGTAATTCATGTGATTTCTTTTCCAGTTAGAGAACCAGTTAACGAAAGTGTATGTGAGGGGATTGACGAAGCGACGTCAACTGATTCATCAGATGATGAAAACCCACGTAACGGTAATACACGAGATGCGTCAGGCTGGTTTTGACTCACAATACAACCCGTGTATTATTTACATGTAACTAGTCTTATACGTCAAGTTGTTCCATCCATGTAAACTCTATGTCAGGCAATGTAAAACCCAATGCAGAGAGAACTAGTGGCGCTGTTGATGAAAGGCTGGGAGGGAAAGAAAACAAAAGTGGTTTCTTTCAAAGAACAAACTTGTGTAAAATCGTAATGAAGAGAACTTGTTTTATTACTGATATAAACTGGGATGCTTTGTTTTATTTTTTAAAAAATGTGTAGTAAACGAAAATGGATGCAATGGGGAAGACGAAGCCACGTCGTCGGATGATGGAGACCAAGGTAATCTTGGAGATACGTTAGACTGTTTTTGACTAACGATGCTACTACCATATTATTTAAGTAGGTAATTTGGTTTTATTCGCTATTTATTAACATCAAGTGAATATTGTCAAATAATCTCGAGACGAAGTCGAAGGGATTATTTTACGGTATTTACTGAGTCTGAGGCATATATTTGTTTTAATATAATTTCTTAGTTGCTTTGAAATTCTGTTGTCAATATTCGTTTGGATGTTGAAACCGTTCTGCTTTAATTGTTTTGATTACTCGTATCGGATAAAGAGCCAGTTTCCACCAGAATTTTATAGGTTCCTTTGACTCAATCGGCAAAAAGATCATACCTTTCATTTGAAAAGTGTTACTCATACAGTTAATAATAGGATTTCGAGTGCAATTTGGTGTAAATAACCACGAGTAAATCTTTTCTAAGACAAGAAAAATTGCACTTGCCCGTATGGCGAGTGAAATTTGTAGTCTTCTGAAAATTTACAATCCATATTTGCGTTTACCCATGTATTTTTCTCTTTATCGTTTTACAAAATGTGTAGTAAACGAAAGTGGATATGATGGGGAAGACGAAGCCACGTTGTCAGATGATAGAGACCAAGGTAATCTAGGAGATACGTTAGACTGTGTTTGACTAACGATGCTACTAGTAGATAACTTCAAGTTGGTTTTATTCACCGAGTTGATTAATTAACATCAAGTGAATATTGTTGAATAATCCCCGAGTCAAAGTCGAAGCGATTATTTTTTTACGGTGTTTACTGCGTCCGAGGCAAAAGTTCATACCTTTCTTTTAAAAAATGTTACTCGTATACTTAGGTAACAATATGATTTCTAGTGGGATTTGGTGCAAACAACGAGTAAATTTTTTCTAAGACGACAAAATTGCACTTGCCCGTAGGGCGAGTGAAATTTGTAGTCTTAGAAAATTTACAAGTGCCTATTTACACCTAATTGCTTGAGAAATGTTGTTGTTACTTATTAATAATTTACATGAAAAAGCATCACAGAAAGTCAAGACAGACGAAATTTTGACAGTGTGTGAGCACTATTTGTAATCTGCACCCGTGTTACAACTTTGCACTCGTGTTACATGAAATCATATCTTGCCATAGTCACCTCGCGCGAGGTGATTATGACAAGATATGACGCAATCCTCGACCAATCAGAGCACATGCATCTCCATTGTCACCGGAGCAAATAGTACTTAAAAACTATTACGTGAGCGCGCCTTGGATATGAGATGGTAAGTAGCTAACGAGGTGCGTCACGCCGAGTAGGATAGAACCAATCTCGTATCCAACATATGCGAATGGAATTTTTGTTTTATTAAAGTGCACTAAATCTGGAACGTTTGGCTATTTAGAGTATGGGTGAAATACATATATCTTATTAGACGTTTTGTTGTGTAGTATCGCTGAATTATTATCCAACCACACCTGGACGAGTACGAATAACGCCATAGACGAGTACAAATATCACGCGGTATTTGTACTCGTCTATTGTAGTACTGGTTAAACAGGTTTTCTCGCATCGCGCAAGCGAAGAATTGGATTGTAGTTACTNTAACATCAAGTGAATATTGTCAAATAATCTCGAGACGAAGTCGAAGGGATTATTTTACGGTATTTACTGAGTCTGAGGCATATATTTGTTTTAATATAATTTCTTAGTTGCTTTGAAATTCTGTTGTCAATATTCGTTTGGATGTTGAAACCGTTCTGCTTTAATTGTTTTGATTACTCGTATCGGATAAAGAGCCAGTTTCCACCAGAATTTTATAGGTTCCTTTGACTCAATCGGCAAAAAGATCATACCTTTCATTTGAAAAGTGTTACTCATACAGTTAATAATAGGATTTCGAGTGCAATTTGGTGTAAATAACCACGAGTAAATCTTTTCTAAGACAAGAAAAATTGCACTTGCCCGTATGGCGAGTGAAATTTGTAGTCTTCTGAAAATTTACAATCCATATTTGCGTTTACCCATGTATTTTTCTCTTTATCGTTTTACAAAATGTGTAGTAAACGAAAGTGGATATGATGGGGAAGACGAAGCCACGTTGTCAGATGATAGAGACCAAGGTAATCTAGGAGATACGTTAGACTGTGTTTGACTAACGATGCTACTAGTAGATAACTTCAAGTTGGTTTTATTCACCGAGTTGATTAATTAACATCAAGTGAATATTGTTGAATAATCCCCGAGTCAAAGTCGAAGCGATTATTTTTTTACGGTGTTTACTGCGTCCGAGGCAAAAGTTCATACCTTTCTTTTAAAAAATGTTACTCGTATACTTAGGTAACAATATGATTTCTAGTGGGATTTGGTGCAAACAACGAGTAAATTTTTTCTAAGACGACAAAATTGCACTTGCCCGTAGGGCGAGTGAAATTTGTAGTCTTAGAAAATTTACAAGTGCCTATTTACACCTAATTGCTTGAGAAATGTTGTTGTTACTTATTAATAATTTACATGAAAAAGCATCACAGAAAGTCAAGACAGACGAAATTTTGACAGTGTGTGAGCACTATTTGTAATCTGCACCCGTGTTACAACTTTGCACTCGTGTTACATGAAATCATATCTTGCCATAGTCACCTCGCGCGAGGTGATTATGACAAGATATGACGCAATCCTCGACCAATCAGAGCACATGCATCTCCATTGTCACCGGAGCAAATAGTACTTAAAAACTATTACGTGAGCGCGCCTTGGATATGAGATGGTAAGTAGCTAACGAGGTGCGTCACGCCGAGTAGGATAGAACCAATCTCGTATCCAACATATGCGAATGGAATTTTTGTTTTATTAAAGTGCACTAAATCTGGAACGTTTGGCTATTTAGAGTATGGGTGAAATACATATATCTTATTAGACGTTTTGTTGTGTAGTATCGCTGAGTATTTTTACTCGTTATTTGTATTTTGACTCGCCCTACGGGCTCCTAAAAATACTCAGCGATACTACACATCAAGACGTCTAATAAGATATACTTATTTTTACGAGTTGTGCCGTATTACGAGTTGAGCCCGTAGGGCTCGTCAAAATACAAATAACGAGTAAAAATACTCAGCGATACTACACAACAAAACGTCTAATAAGTTATTTATTATCCAACACGCCATACTGTTATTTCAGTGCGGGCGAATTTCGCGGATATTTATTTACGGGGAGTGCGTGACAGAAGTATGCGAAGCGGAACGGAATTGCCGCGTTGTCCTGTTGCTGTTTCTATTTTCTTCAATATATGAAGGAATTTCCAGGTCGTCTAGCTGTTTTTCTTCGTTGGATTCATCTAATGAACTTGGATGTATATTTTTCAGCCATTCTGACTCTTCGTCGTCAGAAATATGATTCAAATTGTCCGTCATTTCTTTTTTTTCGTAACTACAATTCAATTCTTCGCTTGCGCGATGCGAGAAAACCTGTGTTTCCGGTACTCTAGAGTACAAATACCGCGTGATATTTGTACTCGTCGATGGCGTTATTTGTACTCGTCTAAGTGTAGTTGGATAATAAATTTCCATACAAGGTGACTAGGACTATGAGCCGTTAAGCGGAACCAATCAGAACACCAGAAAATCAATATTCGGATTTGGAAATTTAATAGTGCTGGCAATTTGCATTATCGACTCAGTCATGAAACAAAATTTTTTTTTTACATCCAAAACCGACGAAGCACCCCAGTATCTTTAGAAACCTGTCCCCTTTATTGTTATTATTATTACCATTATTATTATTACCTGAAACAGGTAACGAAGAACTCGATGAACTCGAAATTATGTACCCTGGAATAACTAAGCAACTAAAACTGACTGGGAGCTGGAGTAAATTAAATGTTTATAGTGACGCTACAGTAAGGCCAACATACGACGTCACAGACGCAAAAGCAAGGAATTTTAATGATGTTTAACAATCTTCGGAGACCAAACCCTAGTTAAAGTTACATACATGGACAATAATATTGCACTTTTAGACTCGAGCGTTCAGTCTTGCGGAAGTTCGAGTAATTACTTCGTTTTAAGAAAAATTGGTGCTCAATGCTGAAAGACTTTCATTCACTCTTTTCGTCCAAGGAAATCCAGTTATTAGGATACTTTGCCTTCCGTTGTTCTCCTAGTTTTTTTTAACGGCAGTATTTCTAAAATTAAGTCAATACTGGAGTGATCACAGCGACTATGTAGCTAAAAAGATATCATCTAGGTTGGGCATGCTGCGTAAGGCGCACAAAATCCTTCCTAAAGAGGCCTGTATAACACTATATAACAGCATGATTCTTCCTCTTTTTGATTACTGCTCTGTGATTTGGTGTACGTCGGGTAAGAAAAACCTAGATTATCTTGACAAACTTCAATTGCGAGCCGCGAGGTTCATTGAGCCACGTAAGACTGAATCGCGTAAAATCAAATCTATATTTAGTTGGCCATCGCCGGCAACAATCTCGCAGAGATCTTCAAGTATTTATTCTTGTTTTCAAGTGCCCACATGGTTTAGCTCCTTCTTATCTTCTCAACGAATTCAGCCACGCTAGCAGTATACATTCCTATAACACCCGTAATAAAGACAAACTTCGTCCGCCCTTTGGTAAGACCCAGAAATTTAAAAACTCGTTTTGCAGCCATGGGGCCACTACTTGAAACAGATTACCGTCTAGCTTAAGAAATATTTATAATTTCCAAAATTTAAAAAATAAGCTTACGCACTACTTCCAATAAATATTGACGCTGATCGGAAAGATCCGGGTCAATAGTTATATCTAGTTAGTTATATTTGTTATAACCAATAACAGTTGTATAGTTATAATAATAATAATAATGTTTACATAGTTATATCTTAATAGTTATATTTAATCTCTGTGTAGTTGTATTATTATTAATTTAGTTTTCTGGATTTTGTTTCACAGGGCTTCATTTAAACCAGCTATTTGCTCAACTGGGCTACCCTGTCTAAATATTCGTAATAAATAAATAAATAAATAAAATTATTTTTGCTCGAGATAACGAAACAACTACAATAATTTAGTGTAGTATTTTAGTAGATGAAAGCCTCCAGTTTGTATATCTATCCATGTAATTTATTTTTCAGTTAGAGAACCCGTTAACGGAAGTGGATATGAGGGGAATGACGAAGCGACGTCAACTGATTCATCAGACGATAAAAAGCTACATACTGGTAATCTACGAGATGCGTTAAGCTGGTTTTGACTCACAATACAACCCGTATATTATTTACATGTAACCAGTCTTATTCGTCAAGATGTTCCCTCCGTATAAACTCCATGTCAGGCAATGTAAAACCCAATATAGAGAGAACTAGTGGCGCTGTTGATGAAGGGCTGGGAGGTAAAGAAAACAAAAGTGGTTTCTTTCAAAGAACAAACCTGTGTAAAATCGTAATGAAGAGAACTTGTTTTATTACTGATATAAACTGGGATGCTTTACAAGGATCTCCATCCCTGAGAAAAGCCGTAACTGCACTGATGTAAAATAACGATAACTGATTACGTGTGTTAACTTTGAGATCGCCAATCAGCTGCTGACACGTCACTCGCCTTTCACGCGACTCCTTCAGGTTGATGAATAAATGGCAAAGCGTTGACCGTTTCCAATCCAAGGACGTTTGTCGAATTTTATTGTCAGTAAAAGGCTTGTTGTGTTCAGATAATTAACAAAATATTACATGGCTGCTTGAAGATATGGAATTTCTCTTAACTGGATATCTCACTCTATCGCTGAGCTCACTCGTGAGATATCGGGTGGAAAACTCTCGGATAAATTCCATATTTGCATTTACCCTTATATTTTTCTCTACATCTTTTTACAAAATGTGTAGTAAACGAAAATGGATACGATGGGGAAGACGAAGCCACGTTGTCAGATGATGGAAACCAAGGTAATATAGGAGATACGTTAGACTGTGTTTGACTAACGATGCTACTAGTAGATAACTTCAAGTTGGTTTTATTCACCGAGTTGATTAATTAACAGCAAGGGAATGTTGTTGAATAATCCCGAGATGAAGTCCAAGGGATTATATTATGTTATTTACTGAGTCTGAGGCATACATTTGTTTTAGTATAATTTCTTCGTTGCTTTCGAATTCTGTTGTCAGTATTCGTTTCGATGTTGAAACCGTTCTGGTTTAATTGTTTTGATCACTCGTACCGAGATAAATAGCCGGTTTCCACCAGAATTTGATAGGTTCTTTTGACTCAAACGGCAAAAAGATTATACCTTTCATTTGAAAAGTGTTACTCGTATAGGCAATAATATGATTTCGAGTGCAACTTGGTATTAATAGCTACGAGTAAATTTTTTTAAAACATCGAAATTGCACTTGCTCGAAGGGAGAGTGAAATTTGTAGCGCCTATTTACACCTTATTGCTCGACAAATGTTGTTGTTATTTATTAATAATTTACATGAAAAAGCATCACAGAAAGTCTAGACAGACGAAATTCCGACAGAGTGTGCGCGCTGTTTGTAATTTGTACCCGTGTTACAACTTTGCACTCGTGTTACATAAAGTCATATCTTGCTGTAGTCACCTCGGGCGAGGTGATTATGACAAGATATGACGAAATCCTCGGCCAATCAGAGCACATGCATCTCTATAGTCACTGGAGCAAATATAGTCCTTAAGAATTATTACGTAAGCGCGCGTCGGATATGAGATGGTAACCAGCTAACGAGGTGCGTGACGCCAAGTTAAAAGTTTATATTGAAGGTGCAGTATGGCCAACATACACACATAAACTATACGACGTCACAGACGTGAAAACAAAGAATTATAATAATGTTTAACAATCCTCGAAGATCAAACCCTAGTTACAGTTACATACATGGACAATGATATTGTAAGATAAAACCCGTTACGGAGGGTATCTCCAGTACAATGAGAGAAAGCTTTCCTAGCGGGAAACGTTGATACTTGCCATTGCTCTTTCACGTTTAGTTTTTGCAGTTGCGAGTAAGGAACAGAGAGGTGAAACAAGTGTAAGTGTAGAAAAATTGTTATACAGTGCCAGCACTGGCGTACAGGAGGATCTCGAAAAGATGCCCTACCATGGATACGAAACTGGAGCAAGGATAACCCCAAGCTGCAGTAAGTGATGTACAGCAGCAGCAGCAATGATTCTGCTGTATTCATTACCTTTCTTCAAGGACACTCTCATAAACAGTAGAGAGATTTAGTACCGCTTTTACCCACAAGAAAGGCTCATGTTTTTATTTATTTTTTTATTTTTTTACAACAGCACATTATCAGGCTTCTTACTCTAATCACTCTCTGGCGTTGCCAATCAGAACGCAGCATTTCGTTCCTCTTTTCAGGCTGCAGAAGATTAATAAAAACAGTAGAGAATGTTATTATTTGACGATTTTAAATGCATAAAACATTTCTTTTTATTCGAGTTTATGAATCATGATGTTTATGAATCGATAAATAGTTCCTATCTATCGTGTACATTTATCTATTGTGTAGTTAGCGCCTATTTTTAATGTCAATTTCTTGTGAGTATTTTTACTTTCTAGCTTTACTAATTTTTGTAAACAGCGCCTTTGAATCTTGTAGAAAAGGCGCTATATAAATGTATTATTATTATTATATCAAATCTTCGAACTTGTCGAGTTATAACGAGGCTAGCCACACGGTCAGTGATTTGTAAATAAGAGTGGGTCCGAATCATTGCATTGAAGACGAATTGACGCTGAAAATTGCTTGCGGCGTCAGTTTTTCTGGAGGTTGTTATTTGTGGAGTGCGAAATTTATGGCCGTAATGAATGTTGGAATCTTACTGACTTGGCCAATTTCGCGTTAAATGGGAATTTAAAGATGAAATAAACAATTTTTTTTTTTTTTAAATCGAGTTTCCAGATGGGATTTGAACCCACGACCCTCCGTGATCTAGTACTCGGAGGGTCGTGGGTTCAAATCCCATCTGGAAACTCGATTTTTAAAAAAAAATGGGAATTATAACCTTTATTTCTACCATAGTTCCCTGACACTTATATTGGTTTTCGTTTGTCACCGCTGCTGTTGTTATTCTTTGACAATGCAGAATGCCCGGTTCGAACATAACAAAGCCCGAAATCTGCAGACATATAACTGATTTTGCGGAACAGGCGGAATAAAAGGCCTTGTATGAGAATAAAAGATCGTATCAATGACCTAAAATGTGAAAGAGATGGAATGAAACCATCCTTTGTTTCTTGTGATGTTTCTAAACTGATGGACACCGCGGAAATACTTTTTCGTGACGTTACAGTAACTAGTTAGTGGTCATCAACTTTAGGCCGCCAAGCGCTTCCATATGTTTGTACACTGAGTTAGATGAAGACATCGCCCTTTGGCGTGGTTTTAAGTTGGAAAATATGTATGATACTTCTCCTTGTTTGTTATATTTGATCCTTTGAATGGGTTTTTAATACTAAAACCACGTCTTAACAAATAGCGGTATAGGGGAGTTATTTTGTTTGGAGTTGTGTGCTGTTTGCTGACTTAGGCTGGCCGTCCAGTTACGAAGCGCGATCTTGGTTCTTCAGTCGCCCTCGCCTTCAGAATTGTCAAAAACAGCGATAGTTATCCAGACAAAGCAGGAGATTAGTTCTGTAAGATACTTTTCCAGCGAGTCTGAAGACTGGTTGGATTTTTAAGTGTTATTAGCATGAAGCGATACAGGTAATTATTGTGTTGTGAAAATATTCATACACTCACTTTCCGCCGACGTCCGGTGCCTTTTCATTTTGTTAATTATTCGCTTGGATGAGAATTTTACCTTTATAGACTGATTTTTCGCCATTCCACCCTTCTGATTTTCTGTGCCTTTAAGAACGGGTGTCCGTAATCAAAATATGAAGACATTTGTTCATTTCATATACTTGCAGTTTTATCAACAAGTTATCTCGTGAACAGGCACAACCAAACGTACTAAAGACATTTAATAGAGATCTAGTATCAACTTCTGTCAATAA